TGATTTGTTCAGATAACTTTTTACATATGCTAATTTTATATGGATGATCCAGTATATTATTGCAGATCGGGCCCAGAGGGGACAAGTCTAAGACTTATGGCACTTACGTACTTGACATATATTAATTAAGTATTTTTCTATGGGCGATCTTGACAACATTTCTTGTTTTTTTTTATCAAAGTAAGAAGTTAATACATCTATTATTCGAATAAGCGAAGCTTAGTGTTTTTTGGCACACATTAATAAATTATAATATTATATTATATATATTTGACTGAAAAATCACGTGCGCCGATCACTTTGGCAAGAAAAAATCAAATCGGAATTAATTACTTATTCTCTACTACGAAGCACCATTATCTGTTTGCGTCCACATTCCGAAAATTAATCTGGATTAAATATATTATTTTATTATAACAAATATGATAAGTAATACTAATAATAGATTTGATCAAAGCGAAACACTTGCTCAAGTATATGAAGTGTTTTTATATAAGAAGAAGGATATAATAGCAATTCAAGAAAAACTCAGTATTAATGGCAATGCAAATAATGCAACAACGCATCAAAGCAAAACAAAACATGAGCCCGAAGGCAAAACACTTGTTGATTCATATAAGTTATTATTACATTTGGTGGGGGGGGGGGGTTAATACCAATACAGAAAAATCTTGACATTGATGGCAATCCCATTCTAGCAGTGGAGTGGTATAATAATGGGCAGAGCCCAGAGTCTCTGACTCATCTGGCAAATCAAAGCAATAAAGCTTCCACCGATTTACCACTTTCGAAATTGTATAATTTGCTTTTATATTTAGAAGAGGATATAATGGCAATTCAGGAAGAACTTGGTATTGTCGGTTATACTAACCAAGAAATGGTAGACGAAGCTGATAAAAATGCAAGAGCATATCTCCAAAAGTTTGAGAAATTTCATGGTCCCTTAGAAGATGTTCCAAGTGTGATATTACAAAAATTTAGCAAAATGGGGCTAAAGAAAATGTGGTTTACTGGAGAGGGACTTCCATTATTTCCGAATGTCTCTCCTCAACAATTACATGAAGTTTTCGTTAAAAAATCAGCTAGCACCCATGTCTAGAATAAGTTAGCTAATCTACCTCCAGAAACAAAATTAATATGTGGAGCATAGAGTCTCTGACTCATATTTTTAACCGAGTTTTAATACTTTTGTATAGAATTCTTTTACTGGAGCTCTAAAGGTCTGAATCGGAAGATACTTTGTAATAAATGGTATTAATTCTATAGGAAGAAGATCAAGTAGATTAGACATAGTTTTAACTGGCACTTTACCGATTTCACAAGATTGAATTTCCATTGCCACGCTTTATTATAGCGGAGCTAGTGCCAGACACGGAGTGACATTATTGCGAAGCAATGGACATAGTCCTCATAAGAAATAGGCACATAAATTATGAATATGAAACACATTTAATACCACTGGAAATATCTTTACCATCTCTCTTCCTGGGTTGACGTCAAAAAAAAGCTTAATGCATGGAGTGCACTTTCTCCGAAAGATCATTTTTATACAACAACAATAGATACATCTTATTTATTCATAAAACAGAGAAGATCTAGCACCTTTGGTACTTGCTCCGCTAATGATCACATAATAATACACGACATCAGATTAAAATGCATTTGTGAAGTCTCATATGTTGGGACACTAACTCCACTACAAAGCTCGATAATTAACTTTACTCTTTACTTTACACTTTAGAATGGGGCGTTTCCTTATTGCTGAGCAATGGCTCTTCGAGCTTACCGCTTCGATCCTATGTATATCCTCTGTTGCTGAAGTATCTGAATCAGAAGAAAAGTTCGAATCCGTGGTTGATTAATTTTTTTATTTTATTTGAATATATTCGTATCTTATACAAAACAATGGGAAATACCAAATCCGAACTAGATCTATTGAAACAAGAGAACGCTAGGCTTTTGACTAGAATTGCAGAATTAGAACAGATTGCGAAAGAAAAAAATAAGCTTGAGCGTAGAATTGTAGAATTAGAACGATCGGCAAAAGAAAATGAAGAACGATTTGCGAAATTGGAACAAAGGCAGTTGCAAGATGACGCACGGAGTGCGGTGTTTCCAACACTTAAATCTTTGGTTAATACCGTTCCTACCGAAATAGTAAATTCCAACGATATTCCTGCATCTGAAATAATAATAACCAGTGACACATCAAATTCTGATGATACCTCTGAACCTAATAATGTCTCGGTATCTGATGTATCCAATAATGTTTCAAATTCTGATGAACCTAATAATGTCTCGGCATCTGATATATCTGATAATACTTTAAATTCTGATGTATGTCTGGAAGAGACGAAGTCTAGAGTCTCCGATATACCTTTAACCCGATGCTTTGCATCTCCTATTCCTGCAGAAACCATATCATTGGAAGAGAAGGAAGAAAATGAATTTCTGAATTTGCAGTATAAGGATCGGATTAGTAAAGAGATAACGGAGAGAATTAGGGAAAAGAAACTCCAAGATCAAGAAAAAATCATAACTTCCCAGGATACTAAATCTTCTTTGAGTGTAAAAGGTGGACAGGGGTTAATCCAAGAATTATTTACTCCAGAGCTGTCTCTACAAGAATCGAATATAATTCAAAACCATGTGATTGAAATTTCCGAGACCGGCGGTCCCGGAAAATCTAACATTGATGAAGCATCGCAACATCTAGCTCAGTTATGTGATAAAGCTTTTGATGCTGAGGATGGTGCAAATAGAGCTAACCAAGAAGAAATCTTATGTTGGGCCATCTATGGAAAGGATTTCAGGGTTCAGTTCAATGATATTATTAAAAATAGCGGAGGTAAAATTGGTGAAAAGAAGGCGAGAAGCTTACTTTATGATTCTATTACAAAACAACTTTCTATTATCCGTAAAAAAAGATCTCAAAAATTGGGTTTATATCTTCCAGAAATATCGCGGGATGCTTTGCGCAAAAAAACTCAGAGAGCTGAGAAAATTTATATATTATTTGAAAAAATAGGCCATGATAAAATCAAATACATCAAATCATATAGTGCGAATTCCATTTCAAAACTTACTAATGATCAAATTCAAGAGATTATAAATTATTCTTGTCAGAACGTCGATACAGATAATGCAAGACATCAAAATTCTGAGACCGCCGGTCCCAGAAAAATCTCATCTGAAACAGACGAAAGTATTACAACCACTTCCTCTGTCCCACTGGTTCATACCTCTAATTCTGAAGATAAAATAAGTGAGAAAGTCAAATCTTTACCCGAGGAAGAGGTAAGTATATCTCAACCTAAGACCTTACCTGAAAAACAAAATAATCCTACCCACCTTATGACTGCTCCCGGCAAGGATAACCATATAAGTTTTCGTAGGAAAGTATTAGATCAATATCCCGATATATTTTATGAATTTAATGATGAAAATATTGATTACTACGGAATTGGTGATGATGCATCATGTCCTTTATGCAAGTTAGACCATGATGGTGAGGAAGGTATAAAAGGAGAATATAAAGATGAAACTTACTATATTAAATGTGAGCAAAACGAAATTCAAATAACTACATAAAATTTGTTTGCGCTTTATAACCCGCCTTTTCACAATAACTGCTCAAAGCCAGAAAAAAAGTCAGATAACATATACTGATAGGAGCAAAGCTCCATTGCAAGGCAATAATAAATACCGATAATATATACTGATAGCATATACATTTTTTTTTTCCGAGAGACAAAGAGGAAAAAAGGAAATTAAATTGCTTTGAAATTATATAAACGACAACATGGATACACAAGCCAAGTCTGATAAGGTACTAGCCCCCGAATATCTGAATTGGTATTCTAAATTAACTGATTTGCCAACCACTATATCCGATAAACTTCGTTCCAAATTATATAAAATATATAAGAAAAAAACTGGGCTTGATCCCTGGATAATGTCTGAAACTCCCGAACCTCCACAAATCGAAAAGACTGATAATTACCTTTCACAGGATTGTGTTATCAAAATTTCTAAGTTTCCAGAAGAAAAAAGCACAATCCATGAAGCAGTACATAAACGTTTTCCTTTCTTGTCCTATACTAATTCAAATGCATGGCACCGGGATGTATTTAAATATACCGATTCAGAAGCTAAATGTCCTGTATGTAAAGAGGTACATACACATCGAGGTATATGGGGCGATTGGAGCTGTCTCGGTAAAGATAACCACTATTTTCTTAATTGCCCTTTTCGTATTGATCAAAAGAAAGTTATAACCGCCATACAGAGTTTGCACGAAAGTGTGTCAAACAAACCTCGAGAAACAGAACCTCGTTCACCAACTCATTCAAACAAAAATCGTCTTTATCAGTATGCCATCAAACATGGAATAGATCCTGAAGAATTTTCAATCATTACAGAGGCTGAAAGAAATAGGTGGGCTATGGGTTGTTTCCGAGAAGACTTGGAAAGAGATATGCGCTTCTACCGTGGTGGAGTAGAAAGAAGAGAAGATCCTAGAAAATATCGCAAATTTTTAACAGATCGGGATAGGCTAATCGGAGAAGAGTTATTACGTCGCAGTATACTAAAAAGTGGTTTAAGTACTGCATGGCTAGATGATCTGATGAAAGAATGGGAAGAAATCTATACTCAATTCATACAAATTTTCAATCCAAATGAAAAAGGAATCGAGATAACAACGAAAGCATAAAACCAAATATAGTATCTAAATCGTGGGCTGATTCAATATATGTAATAAATTATTTTTCGTGTAATTATAATCACATGGGATTGCTCCCTTGAGGCAATATCATATGCATATACATAACAATTTATCAAACCCGATATAAATAAAAGAATTCTTTATTAATTGTGCTTTAGAATTTATTACATAGAATGTGACCCGAGGTCACAACGTCACGTAACAGTGGCGCAGTAAAGCTACTCTATAACATCGACCTCATTCTTAATACTGAATAAATCATGGTCGTTGGGTTGAGCAGGACTACGAAAGAGACCAAGTGGGAAAAAATATAACGGATCTTCTTTTGCTGAAGATAAGATCAAACGTTCTTCGTCGAGTTTCAGATGGGTCAGAAAATTCTCTTGTTGAAACTATAGCCCATTTAATTGAAGTTTCTTTGTATCAGTTACCAATCGAACATGATGTTGAGGTAATTAGGGGTGAACGACAGAGTATCGCTAGTAAGAACCAAAAGGTGTTAGAAGAAATTAGTTCGAGAGGAGATAGACCAGATCTTATGATACGAGCATCTTTGAAACGGAAACAGAATGAGATTGTATATGTTGAAAGTGGTAAGTGGGTGTCTACTGACCAGAAAATTCGTGATGATCATAATAAGCTTGCGAAGCTCTGTTCACATGGATATAACGAAATCGTAAAGGGAAAATTACGAAAGGTTTATATTGCGTTTGGTATTAATATTGCAGGTAATTGTAATGATTATTGTATCGCTAAATACGCTTGCCTTCTGTTCAATCATTAATTTTTTAATAAATGTAGGTAGCAAATTTATACTTAGTGGATTAATACAAGAAGAGAGTATAAAATATTATATGCCTATCATTGAAGCGAAAATCCCTTTTCATGATGAGTCGGTTGAAAAGGTAGAAGAATTTGTCCATTCACTGATGACCTTGCGGGTAAGAAGTTCTTGAAATCAAAAATATTATAAAGTGAATGACACTTTTAGTACCTAATTATTATATTACATATTCTAAAAAATTCTACATTATCTTAGAATGGGATAATCGTGAATTTACATAACCTCAATCAGTAAAGAGTTCCGCATTTTTTATCATTTGGACATTACTCGACATATATTTCGTTAATAAAACTACCCATATAATTATCCAAAAAACAATTATTTCCTACACATATTGAAATTATCCGAATCATGCTATTTATCTATTGCAAAGCAGGCCACAGGCGATTCTCCGAATCATGGGCTTCGCCCTACATACCTCTCCATAGTCGAATACTGCTTGCGTGTTCCTATTAATTATAACTTTATTTTCATCTTCTATGGCGTGCATATATTTAATCAGACTCTTAAATTGCATATACTGTGTAGGATTCATGGTAAATTTACCTTGAGTTTTACGTCTGTTATTTTTAGATCTGCAAGATATATCTTATCTATAATGATGTATTATATCAAAGTATTGAGACATATTCATTTTTTTTTCTAGCAACTAGTGATATCGGTCTACTGATTTTAAAATTGTTATATGTATATATATATATATATTCATTAATCATGACAAAAAAATATATAACACTCCTTAAAAAAAGGTAATGGTAATAGTGAT